TCTGGCTAAAGAACCATGCAGACAATTTTCGGGGCCTACTTAAGACTTCATTATGCTTCCGACGCGCTCGGGAAGTTTTGAAAACCTCATATTGGCCAGAATATGCTTATTTTAAACTCCTGGAAAATAATTATAAGGTTTTTGGGAAAACGAAGAGATATGCACCTACGTAGTATGGTGTCTTTATTCGTTAAGCTTCTGCCAAAGACTACAGTTTTGTCGTTAGGACCGTTATTGCTTTAGTTTCGACTTTTCTAACATTATTGAACGAAAACTTTTGTGGAGGAGCTCCAGAATCACTAGTTGTTTATTATGCACGGCGAGTAACATAATTTCTATTTTGAAGATATTCTCTTACTGAGGCAAGTATTAGTACATTTAGGCCACCACGAACAGCTTCATTTACAGAACTTCCTAAGTAAGCAAATAGATTTTTGCTGACCTCCAGCCCACTTTCGTTCAAAAATTAGCGTTCAAAGTTGGACTACAAGCACTTTACAGTTGGTCACTTGGGGAGTATAAATTTAAGATGCAAGTGACGGTAGATCGACAAAGCTGAAACAGTCATTGTACTATAGAGCTCTCTATTCTAACTCTCATCGTTCTTTAGACCACACTTAGAACTCAGCAATACGATTTCAGTTTCAAGGACTGGTATAAAGGGAATGAATTTTCCTCATATGAAGATGTATATTCTTCTAAAGATAAAACAGAGACTATGTCAAGAAAAACTGTTATACTAGCTTGTGGTTTATAGAGAGCTAAAAACATTCTGGGAACAATGGAGCTGTCTGGTCGTTGCCAAACAGCACAAACAAGGGCAGTTGTAACTGTAATAACTGTATTATTCAAAATGTCCGGGTATAAATAAAAATGTCAAAAAGTTACAGTAAAACTGCCAAACCTTTAAAGTCTGTAGAAGTTTTTTGAACAAAGTAACTTCATAACACTCCCCAACATGCCAGTCCTCACTTTGCAATCTAATAATTTTGACTCCGGAATCATGAGTGCGTAACTAACGCAATTTATTATGGACAAATTTTCAGGATTACCAGTATTCGAGACACATGATGAATGCTGACAAATATAATCGTTGACAGTCATCTGGTTGGCCATATTTGAAACGCTGGATTCGGAAGTACAACTCATTCATTTGATTCTATAATGGATTGAAAATAATGTGACTGCGCACCAGTATAACTTTGACTTCCTAAAGAAGAGACCCCCAAACTCACTAAATATTTAGTCTGGTCTGTTTATAAATGAGTGGCAAGCTCATATCCGACGGTTAAATCTCGTTGATAGTAGGGATGGTAATAAATTGGGCAGAGCATTACGAGGGTATCACACCTACTGGTTTGTATATTCAACCTGTTGCCGCGTTCACGTCTAGTACCGATGATCTTAGCGAGTTGAAATAAACAGAATGATGCTTCATAATTGGTCACATGTGTAGTGGCATTTGACCTTAACCACAGGTATTTTGTAGCCGACCATATAACTACTGAAAAGATTAATTTTCAACAACCCATTCGGAGAGAGGGTTACCAATGGACAAGACAGGAATAATTAATTCAATTCAATAAGTCGGATGGCATGGCTCAGCTTTGCAGACGTGGTCATTCTTGTGCAAATTATCTTGTCGTGGGCGTCGGGTCGCGGTCGACCATAATCACCACTACAGGAAAACTACGTGCTAGTTGATAGGTTAGATCCCTCTGGAGGCCAAACATCAGAAGTCAGCTGAATGTTGTAGTAAGATGTATTTGTTGGCGATCTCCTGGTATCGAAAGAATACCAAGATCGTGTCAAAATCCACAAGCGAGACTATTGAGCGTACGAGAGTTCGTGTGGGGTCACAAATAACGGAAGTGTCTTTTTGGTACACTTAAGCAAACGGGTACAGTAAAACAACCACTGGTACAATTGGTTATAATAATAATTGTTTACATTAAAGATACGACTAGTCTTGTAGTTTTACAACTAGCGACCAGTAACACCTATATTCGAAGCTTTCCCCAACCAATCGAAATCAGAAGTCAGACGAGAATGGGTAGGAAAGATATATTTGATACGTTATCAATATATCGAGAAGCGTTTGCTCTAATCTGGCTAGTGAACGTAGGAGCTGTGTCCCACGCTGGTTCGTAACGTGATCTGGTACGGATGCATGACCAAAAGCCTGCAGTTAAACAAGTCCACTTAAACAAATGTGGTCAGCATCCAATGTCGAACACTTAATGAGCTATTAATTTAGGGATTTATCTACAGCTACAACGTTGTGTCAGTTGTGTTCCCTTCATAAAAGAAGTTACTACAATCTCTTTCTTTCATACTAAATATACCGTTCCATCTCAAGCCCAAATGTGTTCTCCAGAAGTAGGACGAGTCAGTGTAGACTATGATGTGACTTCCACGTAAGATCCTATAGATTAGGTTTTCACATCATGACAAATCTAAAAACCAGCTAGACCATAATTCCACACCCTAACGCACTGAAAAACGATCTTCAATTACTTTGACAGGTTCAACTGAACCGAATGAAGACGTTTGATTTGGTCTATTAATCCTTCTTACGTTCCAAGATTAAATGGACTTAATATAAATCCATTAGTTTACTGAGGTCGTCTTAGTTCCCTGGCAGTCGTCTTACTTTTTGCAAATTAGTAAAAAGATTTTCGAGATAGGCAGAAATCACCCCACAGAGCAAACTTTGAAGTTTGTGCCGTTTTCAAAAGGGTTGAAAGTAAACTCCATGTTGTCAAGTCGCCTAAGTGTGTCGTAATCAGTAGCTACGTTTATGTTTTCATTTATTTGGTCACTCACTAGTAGATCTTTTGGAATAGACTTTATTACGGAATTATTTGGGGGTTATGACTCTTTGCATGCTGAGATATGTCCTCTATCATGACTGACTGTGTTATACCTAACGCCTCCATGGCGTGAAGGAACGGTGTTTTCGTAACAGAACATTCTATGTTTTCATTGGAGCCGGTAAAAACGACAGAGAACGAAGCCAGTCCTCCCTCATTGACTACAATAGTGTAAATGATAATTCTGGCTTCACTCTAGTTGGTTGCTAGTTTAAGGGGCGAAACCTCGAGAGTGGAATTTATCACCAGTCTTTCAAATGTGTTTTCTTTTATCGATTCCGATGTTTTTCATCCAAAGTTAACAGTACTTGTGAACGGACAATATTATTTCCGGACATCATATTGATTAGTTGAGATTTTATCCTATTACTTAACTTTGTAGCACCTGTGAGATTCGTCGCATGTATTTCACCGCTTTTCTCAATCAGCCCGATTAAAGTAGTGCAAGGGTGTAAGCATCAAATGATCGATTGGCATGAATCAGTGAGAAAATTTGATTGTGTTTCGCAGACGTTACGTTTGCTGACATCAAAAAAGAACAAATTAATTTGTAAACAAAAATAAATAGTGGCTAGTAGTGGAATCCAGGACGCTCGTTTGGTCCTATTTGGGACTCGTCAGCTGGATGTACCTGCATCTCAGAGTTGATCTTCACTCCGAGACTCGAACCCAATACCTTTCGCTTCAAATGCCATCGCGTTATCCACTCAGCTACTGCTAGCCACTATCCATCTTTGCTTACCATGCTTGTGAATTTAGGCTATATCGACGCAAGACGCACAGTATGCACATATGCCAATCAGAGACTGACCAATTACAGTCCTAATCATCAATGGGAAGATTCAAACAAACAATACTAAGTGAATTTAAATTAATTTGTGTTCAAAATTTTATCAACAATTTTTAATGTTATCAAATTTTGCAATTGAAAAACAAATAAAAATTAGTTTGTCATCACCAAGTGTGCAAACAGACTGGAGATTCAAGAGAATCAAAAACCAATCCAAACTAAATAACTGATAATAATAACAAATAAAAATCTACAAAATCAGTTACATAAAAACATTATTCAAAAGATCTTAAACATAGTGTTGACAGTCTGATATGTAAGTAGTGTGTAAGCATGGTAAATGCCACTTACAAAAAAAAACAACTGCAAACTACTTATATGATCATCTAAATAATGACGACCTATATTTTACACCCATTGACAATCTCAAAGAATCATCTTTTAATTTTCAAAAATGAAAATAAAACAAAAGAAATTATTCATATATATATTTCATTTGTTTATTATAAACAATATTCCATTAGACGGAACACATAATGTTTTATATTTAATGTATTAAACTTTGAATGAGATGTATTTGTTTTATTATTCGTATTAAAATATTTCTTTTATTGAATTCAAATTATTTCTGTCATCTAACATCGCTGTAATAAAGAATCATAGAAAACAAGTAGGTGTACGAATTGACAATAATACAGATTAATAAGAGAGTAAAATAAACAAAGAATAAATAACTTTTATTTATGGGATAAAACTGATTGTCATCTGTTGTGTACTGATAAATACTACTGATAAATAAATTGGTTAGGAATATTATCAGACAATTATGATGACGTTCATAATAGATCATAGGTTAGGAACAAGTATTATATCATTGATAATTCAGTCCATAATTAAAAGAAACATTCAAATTGAACAATCTCAACAAACCCTTCTATCTAAATAATAGCAATGATAATTATATGCATGTTTTCGCTGTTCATCAGGTTTGAAATGTATTTCTAAAATTATATAGCAATGCTGTGACCGATGGTCTCTAACTATTCTGGGAATAAGACTTGGTAATAAGTAGTATTGAGGTTTCAATTCATGGTCTAAGGCTTTGTTGTTTGTCTTTAAACTAAAAGATCCTGAGTCAGATCCTGTGGATAAGAGTGTTTTGTAAAATAAAATGAACATAGGTGCTTGATCTAATCAGTTTATCATTCGTTAGTGAAATATCGCAAAATTAACAAATAGAAGTGGTTAAATGTCATGTCATCGCATGGAAAATATTCAAACGCTTATAAATTCTAATTTTCATTCCAAGTAATAAATAAAGAACAATATAACATAATTCAACTCACTCCGCACACTTCAGTACATGGTGGACAGTGAACAAAACCTTTGATCAATCCTGAATTCCCTGGTACGTTTAGAGCCACTGTTCCTCCCTGTTTTGGACACGAAATAGCATTCGGTCCTATCATAATTGTTAATCCATTACCGCATAGGTGCTGTAGTTTAATAGTAAAGCATTAAAAGGAAGTGTGGAAATTAAAATCTCAATGATTGCCTAGAAAACAATCACCCACTTATTATTCAACACATACACTTACTACAAATTTTATTCCCTCCACTTCATGAAAGAATATTCGTATTGCCATATTTATAAAATGGTAACTTCGAAAATATTTTATTCTTTATAACAAAATAAGGCCATGATATGACACTTTAGAACTTAATAAGAACAAACTTGATTAAATCGACAAAAAAGCATCTACCTAAAGAAGCCTATTATGTCACAGCAGAGAAACGAAAGCAGCCCAACGAAGAAATTTTTCTTTTCTATTATTGTACTTACTTCATCTGTATAATTGTATTTACAATTAGTTTATTTACGGAAACCGTGGTAAGATAGAAGAGTAATATATAATTTTAAAGAACTAAGATGGTGTCGTGCCTTAAATAGTTTATTTAAATCAATTATTGAATGGAAGTTACGTAATAATCCGAAAGCTAGTGAGAAATCCTAAGGTGAAGATGGTTTGTGAATGAGCGAATGAGTGAAAAACACATCTTTCACTAAGATGTATTTATTCCATTATCTAGCAAAGTTTTCAAATTAATATACACTTTCGTCGATAATAGATGATAGTGATCAAACTCATGTCTGTTAAATCAAAATTTATTTTTATCGAGTTATTTAATGTACAACTTTGATTGCATATGTTATAAATCAAATGGGCCAATCAAAGTGGTAATGGTGACTAAAAAAACTGATCCCACAGTATATAGGTACAAATATTCTACATAATATTATTCTTGAAAATAACATGAAAGATCAAGATAGTTTAGGATTTCTAGCTAAAAGTAAATTGGAACAATATGAATATTTTGGGTTAAATACTCGATCACCGTAAAAGTGCTTGACTGAATTCACCCAAAATTTCAGTGAAATTTACACAGAAAGTGTAGCAATAGAATTAGTTTGGATTTGGTCACAGCTGACCACAGCAACCGGTGGAGAATAGGCTTCGTTACATGAGGCCAAACATTATTATTAATAATGTACCTCGATGATACTGCGAAAACTTATTATGAAGTGGTATTAGACGAAATTCTCGTAAATACTTACTTCGTGGCACGTTGCTCCCATATCATCGGTACTCTGAATACCTCTTCTTGTTTCTACTACCCATCGTTTATTGTCTCCATGATTAATACACATTGAATTCGGTCCAAATCGTTGCATCAAAGGGTTCACACCTATAAATTGAAAACCAGTACTATTTGTAAGAACTAAGTTGACCGTCGTCGAATGCATAGACTTATTACCATAAGACATTTAACAATTAAGACGAGAAATTTCTTCACAAAAAATGAGGAATTTATTTTCTCTAAACTGACATTACGAACTTAGTGTATAATTAATATACTTTAAATAGTTTAAGTAGAATCATTTTACAGTAGTCAACTTCACAATGAAGTCATGAAAATATATACAGTACCAAGTTGAGTAGAAATTATCGTCTACTTAAACACAGTTTTCGATTTCATAAAACCTGGTCTACATTATGTTTGAAGATTTACTAGTTATTGTAAATTTCAGGATAATCTAATAACTTGATATTATATTATATTTCTGGTACAATATAGAATTCTCAGCACGAGGTATTTCAACAAGCTTCTTTTACAAGAACAAAAACAAAAGACGAAAAGAAAAAGGTGAAAAAAAGATCTGAATCTGTACAACTTTTCAATTAGAGACATTTTTAAGAATATAGATTGTTATATAGATTGATATATTAGTCCAGATATGGAATACATTCAAAAGCATTTAGTTTACATTTATTGTATTAATTTTTTTCTGACAGTTTATTCTTAAAAGACAACCACTAAAGAGGCAAGTGGTCGTATCATAATGTTCTCATGTATCCAAGAAATGTTACCGATAGCACCTTAATATATTTACAACAGTTATTTATTCTAGAAAATCTCTTATCTTAAGCTTCCAAATATAAATCCCCAACATTTTGTTATATTAGTATTCTAAAGATGATAAAATAGTTCACTCAAACTCATAGAATTTCCACAAACTTATCAAATCTAACTGATCTCATGTCACATTTCCTAAGGTTGTGACAACAAAGTTCATATATCTGCTAGATTATTTAGAAAAAACATTCTTGATCTATAACTAAATCAAAATTTTGATTTGGTTATTTATATCCTGAAGAAGTTACTTACACTGAGTCATGAAACGCCAGAAAATTTAATTTTTATACTCATTGGGATATTACAAATATATTGGTTTATTTATAACTATCTATCCAATGCTCTATTTATTCCAAATTATCAATTCAAACCTTGGTAATGACACCTACATTCTTGATCTATGTAAATATTAAGCACTAAAAATCAAGAAGATAGAACCTATCTTTAAGAATAAAGAAATAGGGAATGAAAGAGACATTTCAAAGTCCTGTTTATCTGAGGAGTAAAAAGATTGAAATTATATCGATGAGATGCAATCATGTATTATAGTATAATGATAAAGCTTTTTCTTTATGAGAACGACCTTGACCAATCATATAAATTTGGACGTAAAAAGGGAAGACGTTTTGTTTCTATTTCACATCATGGTATACTCCTCATAGAAAAATTGGAGGTCCCGTTTCTGATATGTTCGTTTTTGTAAACTCACGAACTCTTACATACCCTGTGATTATAACTGTTCAATACATAAATGAATCCAGAAAAATAATCTAAAGGCACATCACGAAAGAAATGTGAAACTTCTGTTACCCCACTTGACATAAACAACAAATTTTTAGACATTTACCATCATGTCAATTTTATTTATTATAATTTGCCAGACGGTGAAGTAGCAAAATGTCCTAAGGACGGATCTAAAACTGTCCATACGTAGAGAGTCATTTAGACATTGGCTATCTCGAAGTTCTGCTGAGTGAATCTGATGACTGATGAGTCTTGTTATCCGTTAATTTTGATCAGGTTTTCGGACATATTAAAAGATATTGACAATTCCTTTCACCGTTTTTAATAGTTGGATAAACAAGTTGCTCTAAGTTCAATTGTCCTTTAAACATGAACTCAGTTGGGTGAACTCTGTAACAGTATATTTTTTACCACCAGACTGATCCAAAGACTGAGGTAAAGATATTTTAATACCTATCTATGTAAAACGTCAAACGATAGTCTTCAATTCAGGCTAGGTCGACCTAATAGTGAAAATTTGTTTAGATATTGTTCACTTCTTAATTTTATTGGATAATATACATCAAAAATTAATTGAACCTTGATGTTTATTTATTTATTTAAACACATACATATTGGTACAAAAGGGCACCAGATACATATGCGCCAAACAAAATAATGAAAATAGGAAGAGAAAGGATGAAAAGATAAAGGGGACTGAAATGTACAACCAGAAGAGCTCTCTCAGTTAAGAAAGTTAGAGCCACTCATTATGAAAAAAGTAAAAGAAGGTTACAGCAGGCTCGCCACTGGCTTCTATTCTGAGCCATATCTGATAACGTCTCTAGCCACTGTGTTGCACCATCTCTCGGACCCCAGCCAGGGAGTCGTGAAGGACCAACAGAAGCCAGCCCTTTGCAGCTTTCTTTCATACCACGACACCATGTCATACATTACCAGCTCTCCGTTTTTTCCAACCAGTCCCAGCATCGGCAAATAATGCACGACGTGGAAGTCTCTGGGACGACATTCGTAAAACATGTCCAAGCCACCGAAGTCGGTGTTTCAAGATGGTGACACCAATTGAATTATCGTCTCGGCGCCCGAACACACGATGCCGAACCACTGCATTACTAACATGGTGTTGCCACTGGATGTCAGCAATCCTTCGGAGACAACGATTATCGAACACAGAGAGTCGTTTAACATCCTCAAGTCGGAGAGGTCAGGTTTCACAAGCATAGAGCAAAACTGCTCTCACCGACGCGTTGAAGATCCGACCTTTTACAGCCAGACTAACATCATGAAGGCGCCAAAGATGGCCCAGATTGGCATAAGTCGCTCTGGATTCCATTATGCGTGCATCAATCTCATCACTCACGCTACCACCAGCACTTATGTAGCTACCTAGATACACGAGCTTCTCAACTACTTCAATCTGCTCACCATCCAGGGTGAGTACAGGATGAGAATCCTGCCAGTCTTGTAGGAGTACTTTGCACTTGGAGGGTGCAAAGCACATGCCGTACCTGCGGACACTGATTACCAACTGATTAAGTGCGGATTGCATGCCTTGGGCATTATCGCACAGTAAGACAATATCATCCGCATACTCGAGGTCGAGAAGTCGTTCTCCAGGCAACATATCCACACCGCCATTACTTACATCCATCAGAGCTGTTTCCAGGATGTCGTTGATGGCAAAGTTGAAGAGGAATGGTGAGATTGGGCAACTCTGCCTAACCCCACTGCTTGAATGGAACAAAGGAGGAAGGTGGTTGTATGCCCTCACTCTGCCTGAGGTGTTCGTATACAGGGCCATTAAGATGTTAATGAACTTCTCAAACACACCCTCCTTCAAAAGACAATCCCAGAGAACAGTCCTGTCCAACGAATCGAAGGCAGCCCTGATATCAAAAAACACTACGATTGTTGGCCTGTGATAAGTATGACAGTGCTCTAATATTTGATGGAGGGTGAAGATGTGACCAATGCATCCTCGACCAGAACGAAAACCAGCTTGCTCCTCGCGAGTCAATCGTCCTCGGGTTTTAAACAGCCTACGAAAAATGACAGAAGCCAATAATTTGGACGCAATCGGAAGTAGACTTATCCCCCGATAGTTGTTACAGGAACAACGTGAACCCTTTTTAAAGATAGGGACGACTATCAACTCATTCCATGATGTTGGAACACTTTCTTGCTCCCAAACCTTTGTAAACAACACAGTCAATTCCTTTGCCAGAAAGACACCACCATCTTTAAAAAGAGCCGGAGGTAAGTCATCTGGGCCCGGTGATTTGTGGCGTCGAGAGATGTTAGTGATTGGCATCCCGTCATCCTCGTAGATTGTTTCACTCACATCAGACTTCTTGCTGCCAGTGGCTCGGATGAGTTGGAAGAGCTTCCGGCAGTTACCAGATGCAGCTGCTACTTCCATCTCATTAGCACGCTCCGACCACCAGGCTTCTCGGTCCTTACGCGAGCTTTGCCCGATTTCATTACGTAACAGTCTTCGTTTGTGGTCAAACTCACGGTCACCCGGAGTAGACCGACGGGCTTCCATCAGTGGTAAGGAGCCAGAAGAAACCCAGTACTTGTAAGCGGGACGTTTCGCGAAGTCGCAAGCGGCTTTACTCGCAATTTTCATGGCGTCATGAAGTTGCAGCCAATGCTCATCTATACTTTTCGGTGGGATGTTAGCTAGCCTAGAAGCTGGCTCGACTCGGTACTTACTTGTAACAGATGTTGCAGCCAGTTTACTAACATCGATCCGTTGGTGGTGGTCAATCCTTCGGCCACTGAAAAGTAAGGTGAGATTGGCGCAGACCAGGGTATGATCAGACTCCAGTTAGGTACTCCAAAAGGAGCGGCAGTCTTGTACACAACCACGCCAGCGGTAGCTGATCGCGATGTGATCAATCTGAGCTCAGGCTTGAGATGCAGAGAGAGGACGCCAGGTGGCACATCGGCGATGACTGTGCCAGAAGTTAGTGCTAGCCAGGAACAGGTTGTAGCCTGTGCACAGTTGCAGTAAACGGTCCCCGTTATCTGTCCTGCGACCAACAAGTCCCCATCGGCCACCTAAACGACTCTCTTCTGTGCCTAGACGTCCGACATGTGCATTCAAGTCTCCGGCTAATACTACAGTATCTGTCGAACGCGCTTTCTGGAGAAGAACAGTTAACTGATGGTAAAACTCATCCTTGATTGCATCCGGGCTGCAATCTGTCGGAGCATAGGCGGAGATGACGAAAAGACACCGTTTCTCACGCCGATTTCTTCTCACTTTGATGGAACTTTCTAATCTAACAGCACATAACCGACAGTTAATGGGGATCCAATCGATTAGTGCTGCCTCAGCTCTAGTGCTTAGTGCAACATCAACGCCTGCAAGACCAGACGAAGATGCCACAGAGTCCCCAGATAAGCGCACGTGAAACATGCTTTTTGAATCGACAGATGGAGAGCGAATTTGTAGTACTTCACTAGAGTCTTGAATACGGGTCTCGGATAGACAGCAAACATCAACATTAAGACTTTCTAAAGACATAGCCAGCCCCATCTGTTGTCCGATCTGCATTAGTGTGCGAACGTTGAAGGAAGCCAGCTTGAACGACGTACGTGGTTTCAGAAAGACTGCTTCAGTATTCATAATCGGTGGAAGCATTCACTTTCGACCAGACAGTGACTGGAGATCGTTTAGATAGAACAGAGTTTCCACCATGGGCGAGCTACTGAATAAGTTGAAAAGGAAGGATACACACATTGGGAATAAAGGGAGTGAAAAAGCGATGTAGTAAATAATAATAATAATAATAATAATAATAATAATAATAATAATAATAATGTAAATTGTCTTTCTTCTATCAGGAGCGAGAGTAGTGTAGTCAGTGGAATGCGTCATTTCATTTCATTTGTGTGTGGGCTGTGATAATGCCCGGGTGCCCAAACTGAAGCAGGTGGTTTTCTTAGGGGGCCACACCCCGAGTTTTTGACCTAATGGTCTGATACACAAGGTAGTGGAGCATCTTAAGGAGATGCAGTCCCATGGGAGCCGGTGACCAACGATTGGTTCATACGCCATTTGTCCCTTCAGGATACTGGAGCCCATGTGCACCATTGGTTTGGAATCAGGGTTTTCCAACTCTTCTAGGTAAACATTCCGTGTCCACCAACCCGGTTAAAGCGTCGGGCATTCGCTTTTCGTCCTCTCACTTTCGTAAACAACACCCTGGCCACGACAAGGTAGTGAGTAGGACTTCCCTGGCAGAGGCTATATATTCGCGTGGCCATGTGAGAGTATTTCGAGAGGGAAAGAGAACTCTTCCCACTCTCGGCCGTACCAGGACATTTGGGGGTTACCTTGATGTAATAACAGTTAGAAGGATTTTATAGTAATAAATTCCATAAAAGTCAGTAAGACAAGTATTTCATTAAGAAACGAAACCAACTTATTCAATAAAGTTATGTGATATTAGAATGATGGTACAGTTAATCACAATAACCTGCTCCATGATTTGACATATTACAGGTTCATTAAATTTCAGGGTGATTTTTATAGCAAACAGTGGTTAAAAATAAAGAAGAAATATATTTATTTGTCGATATATACATTATTATTGGCTGAGTTGACAACAGTTAGTTGAGTTTCACTTGTTTTATTATTATAACTTACCTAAACGCTGATTATTTTCAGTATCTGTGCAAACTGACGTTTGACCTGTTCCATGAAGGTTTGGCATCGGCTAAAAGGAATGGAAAGGACAATAAAATGCATTATAAATAATTTTTTAAGATACAAATATAAATCTCTCAGAATCATATAACATGTACGACTGAGTGGTGCAAGAAAAAAACCTATAGGCTTAAATCAATAATGTTATTTAATTCGATGACAGTTATTTAAGCCCATAGTAGTAAACTTCTCTCATCTTAGGTCAACTTTACGAACTGTGCACATAGATTGATTCATAAGGATCTCTAACCAATATCTGTGATTATTAACTACTCACAGCCCTTGGCAGTATTTACCTCACAAATCATTTATTGTAACATTTCACAGTAATTAACAATTTTACTTTCAAAAGAGAACTATGGTTAAATATCATAAGTAAGTTTGAATTTTTGTCATTCTCATATTGGACTATGAAGTGCACAATCCAAATTTTTCATAAAATTAACCAAGATAATAGTAATTGAATTTTAGCATTATTAAGTCATCTGTAGTTAAAGGTTAAGAAAATTTCTTCAAAATAGAATGAAGTAACTCTGTTTTTTGATGCAAACTGTCGATTTCAGTTATACTACAAGGTGAAGTGTTTCTAACAAATTATCAACATCTTTATTGTGTTCTACAGTGTATATACTAAGTTAGACACTAATGTTACTAGTTAGTAAGAACTAATTTTTTTGGACCTCCAGCAGTATTATGTGTGTACAGTAAAGATGATGGTTTATTACCTGAAAAAATGCACACCCATCATGTAATTTACTATCACCTGCCAAGAATTCACGTTCTCTATGATTTGTTACATGTTGTTTGTCTGGTGGGATTCGATGCTGATGTCGAACCATGTTACACAAATTATATGCTTTGTTATATGGTACACACTGAGCACGTGTTCGATCAAAGTAATCACACCATGGACCAGTTGATTCGTTTCTGTAGAAAACAAATAAATGAACTAAAATTGTTCAGTATAATCTTTTGATAAAATCAATATAATTATCCAAGGAGGATTAATGTACATATAGAGTTAATGTAGTGAATAATCAACCAAATTAATTAATAAACGAAACGATAATGTAAATCATTCAACTTAACTGATTCAATACCAAAAGAAAACTTTAAATTAATTTATTGGAATTTAAATTATGGTAAAAGATTTCTTAAAATTTTGATAAATTGATTATATACTTATTTGATAAGGTATTTCATAAAAAATGAGTATAAATACTTAACTGTAAGATGTAAGACATTAAATAGGAATAATATATTTGTAAAATCTCAGTGAATGAATTTGAAGAAAATTCAACGTTTCGCCTGGCAATGTGGTTCAAGGAAATTTCCTTGAAAAAGCTTGGACCAGATTGCCAGGCAAAACGTTGGATTTTCTTCAAATTCATTCACTGAGATTTTACAAATATATTATTCCTATTTAATGTCTTACATCAACTCGGCGCCTAAATACTGTGAAACTATTCGCTTTAATTTAGGCGGAAGTTCTTATACATGAATTCTTAATATCTTTTTTCAACTTATCTGAATTTTGTAAAAACAAAAATAAATCCAGGATATTTACATTCCTAATTAAAAGTCATGAATTCATACTTTCCACTGACCATAAAAATACAAACTGTAGAAAATATCACACTAATTACCGGGATCTTTTTAAGGCCATGTATTCAGAACAACTTTTTGTAACAAAGTCACATCCTAAATTTTTTCCCCATTTCCAGTCTTGGGCCATCTGGAAATCAACGTCATACCACCTGGTATAAGGAATAATAAAACAGAAATGTAATACTGTCAAAATAATAAACAAGCAAATAAAGTTCATTTGTGATATGCGCTACTGATGTCGACAGATATAAGTAGTATGTATCACTAATCGAAAGTGAAATGCCTGGTGGTAGAAGTTTAAGAAGATTGGAGAGAAGAGAACGAAAACAGAGAATGAATTGTATGGAAATGAAGGAACAATCAAGTTCGAGACAATTGATTGACATTTCGCAAATGAAGTATTTACTGTATGGTTCTTAGACCTTACTAAGATATTCTGTTGTGTTGCGTTGGAATAGACTTAGTTGTCCCCGACTTGTGTTCTCGTTAGCAACGCACTTATATAGGACGTAAGAAATAAAATCTATATATCCCTTAAAATTACTTTATAACTTAACAGAATTATGAAGCATATAAGTATTTCACAAACGATTTAGAACACTATATTTTCTTAGATGAGTCTGAAAAATTACTGTTAACCCGTCAAGACGTAAGGTAACCTGAATAGCTTGAATTCATCTTCTAGTGCTAAATAGTATCATACTGAACTCAAATACTTGATCGCTGACTATGACTTTCTCCGGACTTTATAACATACAATATACCTCATCATCATGTCTTGTCACCTGAAAGACTGAAACTTGAAGACTGTAAACATCAGAAAGTGATTAACAAATACATGATTATGGATAATAAATCCCAGACTATCCATACCAAAATGGTTGTAAGTATTTCACGTAGAGTGAGATAATGAAAGTGTAAACATCAAACATTGTGTAAGAGCACTGTGGTTAATTTTAAGAAAATCATATAGATTTCGTGTAACTCTGAAGTGTTTACAGCCAATATATAGTTCTTTAAGCACAAGGTTTTGTAATCATAAGTCCATCTTAGAATTAACGAATTTATTGATCAAGTAACTGAAGCATACTTTCACATCGACCTCTACCTCAAGATTATTTTACTTACTATAACAATAGTTTCTGTCATAGACAGTTATCAACTAAAGGACCAATGAAGATTAAACTATTGCTTATCCTAGATTTATACGTTAATTGTGTTTGATTAAATTTAAAACCTTCCGGTTTCAAGTGAGGTATAAATCCATTATATTACTAAGTAAAGATTTTATGATCCACATTTTTTTTTACTTTACTGATGCATAACAATCACCCACTTCTATCTATGATCTCTATTTTATCCTGATTATGACTAAATTCAATAGGACATGGCCTCTTGCTGTAAATTCGATAGTTTCCACTCAAAACTAATCACAATATTTTTATTTAGATAATAATCATCTATCACAAAATATTATCAGTTCGATAACTGTTGAAATCGCATTTGGTAATTGACAGTCTTTATATTCTTAAAATTAAAGTATATCAGGAAGGATTTGCTATTTTTATAGCCCCTTATTATGTTTTAAATGAATGAATAATACAAGGAAATACAAAAGAATTGATTATTTTTCTTTATTTAAACTGTACCAAATTAGCGCAACATGAAAACTATGATCAAACGAGTGGTTACATTTACATTACCTAGAAATTATTCACTCACCCAGAATCTTGGAAAACTGATAATGTTAGCCCTGAAATAGTTAACGATAGTTCAACACTTCCTGACATAAGTTCATCCTGAAGAAAACAGCACATTAATACTTTATGTACATAAATTTAATTGACCCAAATTAGATGAAAAACAAAATAAACTGCAACAAAGCTATCCATGTATGACATTTCTACATTCTTGATATACATGGAATAGGAGCTCTGTATACTACAAGATGTTCTTTTCCTAAATGCATGTTTACAATAGAAAAGAAGTTTAATGGATGCTTGTGCAAACAGTTATTAATTTCATTATTTCCTAGTGAATGTTATGACTGCAGACTGTTTTTATCAATATGGTTAATGATGATTATCACGGTAGATTAAGTGTGGATTCAATGAATTAGTACGAACTCACTTATTACCAGTTCATAAACATCTATTTTAAGTTAATATTAACATACATAAAACTTCATCTTATGCTTTGCCACAGTTCATTCAAACAGATATCTACAAATACAGACATTTTAATGTTGTTTGCTTATTATAATCCATTACAAAAATGAAAGAACATTAAAATTATGACATCGGTAAGAATAAAGTGGTCGTTTCTTGAAGGCTATGGATTTACGAATCTGACAATAGTTGATAAAATTTAACTTATTTTCCACACAGTTCTAATACAACAGATTCGTGTATTCGGCTTTTAGTCACGATTTCAGTGTACTAGGACTATTGATACCACCTATCTGTCTAAGACGAAATAAGTTAAGCCGGATCTGAACCTCCAATCAAATAGTTCACATCATTTTGCTTCGGCCGCTACAACACACTTCCTGATCTTCTGGATAAAGAAAAACTTGAACAGTAATTGACCAAACAAACTTGTTGCAGTTAACTCAGACATAAACATTTTTTTATTCTAACAAGAATTAGGGAGAAAACTAAACGACCACTAATCAGCCTCAAGGATTACAGTTAAGTATGGTATAATACTCATGCTTATCATTTCTATGTCAAAGACTATGACAGACATGATCTCACGAACAGCTGTGAAATCTACTTTTAACCTGCAACATATGACACTAGAAATTGTTAATGTCTGTCTGTTAGTGTCATATATTTATTCAAGTGGATTTTAGTAAATCATTTAATAATGTCATACCATCGACTACACTTATTTACGTTAAAGTCAACTCGTCTATTGATAGAAAAAACAATAAAACTCCCTCTACATTAAGTATTTGCCACAAACAATATTCAATAAAATTTAAAACGGATTAACATTATATTCATGAATTCCAAGAAAGACCATGATTTCCAAGCATTTATATCAAGTTACTTGACCAAACAGGCTTCATTAGAATAATGATTATCTAATACTTGATTGAACAAAACTATCAGTTTACTGAGCATGCATAAATTGAAAGCGAAAACCTCATTCTTTTTCTACTTACATTCACAACTCTCTTCTCAAAATGTGTTAAAGCTGTGGCACCACTGCCTTCATTTTCAAGATCCACACCGTCTAAATTTGAGCAGTTGAAATGACTTCTGGCAAATTCCTAAAGCAAAAAAGTATGTTTTATTGAGGTCATGAACCGATCTAAGATAGAAAACAATTTAAAATGTGAAAGCACTGGATTACTATATCTTCCTTATATGGAGCTCTTCAACAGTCTCATTAACGATCTCACCACTGGAGGTCGAATCCAGAACTTTCTATCCAACACACAAAGGCTTGAACGCTAGACCACTGGGTCGGGATCCAAAGGGTTAAAAGTATTGTAGTGAACAATAAGACGAGTGGGGACAATCGAATGTATTTGACACGAAAATTACAGACTATCTCAATAAAATCAGACAACCATGCAGTAAACAGTTAGTTTGCAAACTACCAATCAGTTGTCCCAATCTTGACCGTTCCTTCTGCGAATAGCAGTCCATCGTCTCCAATTATTAATGTTTATGCATTTTCGAACCAACTGCGTTTCGTTCCCGTTTTTTCATTATCGATCTTCTACTGAAATACATTCACTACTTGACCATCGTCATATACTACTTATGTGGATGTAAACAACTCACGCTACAGTATAATTTCGATCAATCTGTCATATCATGTGGCCATTTACTGTTGTTTCAGTGAGTACCTTCCTCACACTCTACACGGTTAAACTCTACTGGCCACGGCTTCTCAGCAAAACTCCGGAATTTCGTTCTAATGGACATCTTTCCAGTGCTTCCAGGTTTTCATTTGTTACTAGCTTAGGTGCGCTCGTGATCGCAGTAAAATTCAGTAATCTGCACAATTCTCATACTGAAATATGTGTATCTCATTATCAAGAGTAAATATAAAATTCAGCTATTGACTACACAACGTGTTTCTGGGGATTCACTTTAGTTTCATATGGCCTCATCAATATCCGGAGTTTAATTATTTAAATGACTGTTTTCATAATAAAATGACACTAGTTAAAGCATCAGTGAACACCGAATGACTATCTCGGGATTTCATTTCAACAAACTCATGACTGCATACGAGATCGAAATCATGACTTTTAAACTGTTTGACTATTATCATAAGTTTAACTTAGTTATTTTGTGATCTCATATCCTCCATAAGACCTGTAGCCCTTAGGTTTTGTTTCATGTATGATGATAAAACTGTACGGCTGCAAAATTACAAACTTTAATTCAGGTCTTTATTTGTCCATATATATTTTCAGAGTTTTAATTCATATCCTGCGTGCGGCATCGTGGATACGAACTACTAAGAAGTCCCGTACTAGGACGAAACTGATGTCCAGGGTTTCCAGGTTTTCAACAGTGATCTAGCTTACACCAACTCATGAATTCGACTGTGAAAATACTACAATCTCCACAAATCCCCATACTGATAATATCTAAGTAAAGTTATTATTTACGGTTTTAAATATAAATGATAATGAATAAATGTCATTGGAATTATGGAGATAGTTAACCTGAAGTTATTTTGTAAGTGATTTTTGTCATTACAGGCGTTTTTCATAGTTTCTCGTAACTTGTACATTAACTACGATGGACTCTTAAATTGTTGTTTAAATTTGACCTTGATCTTACGTTACCATTCTGTTCTCTGCTCTTATAACACAGTTTATGGAATAAATAAACCAAGGATCTGGTTTACACAGATTGAAGCTCTGTTTTTGGCATGTAATGTTCAGTCACAGGCAACCATTTGTGCGCACGTATTAGATGTACTACCGATTGAAATTGCTGCAGAAGTCAGAACTCTAATCGACTAAATCTCGGAAGAAGACCCATGAGACGAACCCAAAGCAGCAGTCAACCAACGCAGATCAGCCTTCGACGAGAATAGACTACAACAGGTATTAACAGCATGCGACTTGGGAGATAGGAAACTATCACAACTATTACGATACATGAAGTAATCGGTTAGCCCATTTAAATTAAATGAAGTATTGAAGCAAATGTGGTTACAACAGTTGCCTTAAAGCGTGAGGCAGATTCTTGTGTTTCAGAAACATCAATTATCCTGAGTGATCTGGCAGACACTGCAGCTAAAATGGTGAAAGTTTATTCAGATTAACATAGTGTGAACATATTAGCGGCTACTGATGGAGCGAGTACTAATGAAATAGCTGCACTTCAACAGCAGCTGCTCGACTTGTCTAATAAACTAGCAGCACTACGAACAGATGTATCCCCTATTCATGCGAGACGTGCTAGGTCATCCTCTAGGAAAACGCTACTTTTCAAACAGAGCTCTAGGTCACCTCAGCCAACCCTACGAATCTGTTGGTATTGTTAGAAGTATGGCACCAAGGCACAGAGATGCACAAGACCGTACAAATTTACGCCGTACAGCGATGGGAACTATGGAAACGTGCCAGCCAGGCAGTAGTGGTGGCTATTGTTTTTGACCAATCGACAAGTCAACTTCTGCTCGTTAGGGATAATATTCCTGGTATGGAATTTTCAGTAGACACTGAAGCAAAAATTGGTATAATTCTACTCACATTATCACAATGGCAAACCAATTCAACTAGCAAAATGTTAATTTTGACGGCCAACCAAACCACCATCCAAACTTGTTTAGAATAGTCGTTAAAATTAGGTCTGGTGCTCTACCGATGTTTTTCACGAATTTCCATAGTAGCACAAGTAAAACAACCGGTTCTTGGGGCTATCTTTCTCAGTGCTTATATCCTACTGGTAAACATAAACGAAAATGAGCTTACAGATGCAAACACTCGTCTACAGGTGAGCGATAAAACTGCTAATACTGAGCTTTATAGTATTCACGTTGTAAAACCGTTGTAAAACAATCTATTTCTCGGTGTCCTATCCAAGTATTACAACATCCAATTATTAGAGCGACTTTTTTCTTTATATATATATATATATATATATATATATATATATATATCCCTTCTTTTCATATCGAATTATAAATACATGGGAATATATTTGTTTAAATGGGTAAATATGATTATACAAAATAGTTATTTACTGGCATAAAACTTGTCTTTCATTGTCGGTTTTACTGTAACATTGATCCTACGTATTTCAGAAAAATGTATAATATTGGTAGTATATGTCAAGTGTTTCTATGAAACAGTGAAGGATTTTACAGTGATTACTAATGAATATTAAGAAAAGGCGACAAAATTTAGGGCAAATAACATACCAAGGTTTTTGGAAGAACAAGGGCTCCTATTTTCCGTGTCGAAGTAACCATTGCGGATTTCCAAGTGCGAGTGACTTCTCTAACGACATTAGTACTAAATTAAAGAAAATAATATTTACAAGATGGTGGCTCCCTAATGTTATAAATAGCCAAGCTATATGTTACTTAAAGAATTGGTTCTTTTAATATTATCCTATTCAAAAAGATGTAGTGTAAATTGTGACAGAAACCATTATCATTAAAGTTATGATATTTGAGGACACAATGTTTTGACAGTATTTCTTGACGTATGTACATGGCGTATGAATTACCTATATATAGCAATTTTATTACAAGTTACATAGAATAAATGAATTGTGATTAGTAGTTGAATCCAGGACTCCTGTTTCATCCTTTTTGAGGCTTGTCAGCTGGATGTATCTACATTCTGGTATTGGTGCTCTCATTGGAACTCTAACACAGTGTCTTTCAATCCAAACAACTAACGCTCCACCCATTGAGCTGATAAGTCCCTATATCGACCAACTTATTCAACCAGTGTGATAACTTTATTAGTATCAACAAGAGCTTGATTTATTATATTGTTAATATTTAGGGTCAAAAGATTGATCAGATATTCAATCCCTAATAGCTCACTGAGTTTAAAACAAGAATAAGACTAACGTTTTGTTCTCCATAGTTTTGATAGTTGTCTGTTTTGGGGTCAGTTAGCAATTAAAATTTGACAAAATAATCTAACTCAGATTTAAAAACATTCTTTCTCCTACACTACTGTAGTTTTACAATGGTTCATAGCTGAAAGTGCTTTGAGGATTCTAGCAAATTATTTTCTAAGACGCTGATCACCAAATCAGTGGTTGTTGGGCATTGCCACTGAATTTCGCATAGGTTAGCAAAAGCTAACAATTAGTTCATTGTTGATTTATTAATGACCGTGAATTGTATTGCTATATAAGTACCACAAATGCTAAATCCACATCTTCGATGAAGGAAGAATATATATATTACTAACGTATTATTTTATTTATGTCTCACTACATGTGTAGGTGACTGTTGCTGATTGAAAGTTGAATCAAACTACTAGTTAGGAAACTAATCGATTTTAAAAAATTATACATTACTTTTTAGTAGAACATGTAATCCATTGAGATTTATTCATAAATATCCAAAACTGGTTATTAGTTGAAATGAATGACTTTCTGTATTGATGCCCCGAAATATAATCTTTTTTTCATGTTTAGTAAAGTCAGAGCTGTCATTTATAGAACGGGCATTATCAAAACACCTAAAAAAACCGATAACTTTCTTTATACAAGTTAATTCAAGGATTTTTTAGTGTTTTTTAAGGGTTGAAATTTATTCAATGGAATCACTAATTATCGTCAATGACTTACCTAGGAGCAAATATTCCGAACTCACCCCTCGGAGTACTTGGCATTCCTGTAACGGGATTACGTGGCGTTCGTGGCTTGCCATGATCGTCACGATAGAAAGGGTAAAGATTTCTGTTAAAGCCCTAAATATGAAAGGAATTCGGTTAGTTATGAAATTGGGACTTCATTTTCTAGTCACAACCCACGTGCTACGTTAAAAAGAATAACTATTTAGAAATTAGTGATTATTAAAAATTATTTTTTTTTATTACTAGTGAATATTTCAATTACTTGTTTTATTTCATTTGAAGCACATTTGAAATTATCTGGGATCAAACCAAGAACACTTGAATCTAATAAGAAAAATATCACTTCTGAGTCCAAGTCAATTAATTCTACATTTCCAGTTGAATTTCCGATCTGTTGTCTACATAGTTTAAGGTTTGTTAACAAGTCTCATATTCAGAAGATCCTTTTTAAAAATTTACACATTAGGAAACTTTAACAGAACTAATGAAAACCTGATGAACTTCATTAACTCACAATAAGCAAATAAATGTGTCTGTGTAATTATGTTTATTGGGAAAATACTCCAAATGATTCGACTAAAATCTTTTAATGACACTCTTTGTAAATGTAAATAGTAACGAAATAATGTAAAATGAAGTAGTTTGAATAGGAATCAATCATTTTTAAACGCTTCGCTAGATAATAATAATGATAATAATAGAAATAATAAATTAACACATCACAACAACAATTAAATTTGTATAAATATGAGAATTATACCATGAATAAAAGTAGTAAAGAGCTGATTTGATGACAACAACAACATCTGAATATTCAAAACGATTCTAAATTTAGAATAACCACCTAATTCCAATTGAAAGTTAATGTAGAATTATACGGTTAGTAGGTTTTTGTAATAAACCGTAGATTTATTCCTATGAAAATATACTAAAGCTTTAGTGAATCGTATTCACAAAGTGAGAACCCATTAATATAAAACTATCATATTTACTATCAAAGATATGTTTAGAAATTTCAGTAGAAAAAGGAACTAAAACATTCTCTATTCATCAAAGTATTCAGAGATGTAAAAAATAAATTATCTAATTTCCTTGATCAACCAGGTCTGTTGGGAGATATCAACTCACTGAAGACAATTATTGAAATGGTTGCTCAATTTCGGGGATCGGTTGAAGTTAGACATTAACACCGTTGGATGACAGCTCAGTGGTCTATCAGTTAAGTGCTCTGGAGCGAGACTGGTACGTCCAGGGTTCGAATCTCGCGATGTGGGATCGTGGATGCGCACTGCTGAGGAGTCCCATAATAGGACGAAACATCCGTCCAGTGCTTCCAGGTTTTCCATAGTGGTCTAGCTTCAATTGACTCATGATTTCAACTATATATAAAAATCCTCAATATATTTTAAATAAATATGATTTTTGTATTTTATATACAAACTGTTAGTTAAAAGATAAATTTTATTTGCAACCATCAAGTTGACAGGTAATTATTACTATACTCAATTGTGTAAAATCCTGGGAACGAATTTACAGCTTTATTTAATTATACAATAAATAAATAAAACGCTGAAATATTCCCATTATATTAAAACACAATTATATGAATTAAGAATATTCTTTTCAATAACTCCTCATTAGATTCTACAGTTGTAAGTCCAAATTAATAATTCATAGAAATTGGCCAAGTTAGAGTACATCAATTAACATGTGAATCAAAGATTGTTTGTCATATCAAATCAAATCGTTAATGTTGGGGTTGACTAATATAAAGTGTTAACTTGAATCAGTTTATAAATGAAATGAAATTGTGAGGTAAATAATGATCAGAATAAATATAGTTGATATGGAGTGAGAAAGAGAATATATGTTATATTCTACAATTAGTTTGTAGGAAACTTTATAAATGTTAAGCATTTAAACAAGTTATTTATTTTAACAACTCTATGTTAATCAATTTAGCTTTCAATATCGTATTCATAACACATTTTGCCACTTCATAATAGTTAATCCTGACATTTGCATCTGATCAATGAATAACTAAGAAATCTAATGGTAACTCTTTTTTAAGACCTTATGACAGGTATTCTAACTCAAGAGAGATTGATATTCTGTATGTGAGTGAAGAATAAAGAGGTTTTGGCTACATAAATCTTCCTGATGAAAGTGAATAACCACGAAAATTTAGCTATACAGTTATCTCCAAACTACGTTTAAGCAAAGAACACTTATTTAAAACAAGCGATTTACAAAGTATATTTATATATAAGAGAGTGATACATTAGAAATAAGGGCCATTTTAATTAAAAGTGTATCGACTATGTGTATTAGAGAGAGGAGGACAAAACACAACTTACTAATGCATGTCCCATTTCATGAATTGCCGTATACCGTAATACTTTGCTCATTGGATAATGTTCATCCAAACGATTTGGGCAGAAATTAATAAATCCAAGAATTGGCCTGTTGTCAAAATATTAACAGAAATTATTGACGAAAAAATTTAGATTTTAATCAGTGATGAAGAACTAAAACTAAGGATATATATATATATATTACTCCATTATTCTTCTCTCAATACCAGGAAAAGTCTTCAACAGGGTATTGTTAAACAGGATGAAGGATTCCGTAGATGCCCAACTTCGAGATCAACAAGCTGGATTTAGTAAGGATAGATCGTGCACAGATCAAATCGCAACTCTACGTATCATTGTGGAACAATCAATCGAATGGAATTCATCACTGTACATCAACTTCATCGACTACGAGAAAGCATTTGATAGCGTGGACAGGACGACACTATGGAGGCTTCTTCGACACTATGGCGTGACTGAGAAGTTAGTCAATATCATACGGAACTCATGTGATGGACTAAACTGCCAAATCGTCCACGGAGGACAACTCACCGACTCGTTTGAAGTAAAGACTGGTGTGAGGCAAGGTTGCTTACTCTCACCCTTTCTCTTTCTCCTGGTGATCGACTGGATCATGAGGACGTCAACATCTGGAGGAAATCATGGGATACAGTGGACAGCTGGACGATTTAAACTTCGCAGATGATCTGGTTCTTCTATCACACACGCAACAACAAATGCAGGAGAAAACGACCAGTGTAGCGGCAGCCTCAGCTGCAGTAAGTCACAACATACACAAAGAGAAAAGCAAGATTCTCCGATACAACACAACATGCACCAATCGAATTACACTTCACGGAGAAGCTTTGGAGGATGTGGAAAACTTTACATATCTGGGCAGCATCATTGATGAACACGGTGGATCAGATGCAGATGTGAGGGCGCGGATCGGCAAAGCAAGAGCAGCATACCTACAACTGAAGAACATCTGGAGCTCAAAACAATTGTCAACCAACACCAAGGTTAGAATTTTCAATACAAATGTCAAGACAGTTCTACTGTATGGGGCGGAGACGTGGAGAACTACGAAAGCCATTATCCAGAAGATACAAGTGTTTATTAACAGTTGTCTACGCAAGATACTTCGGATCAGATGGCCAGACACTATCAGCAACAAGTTACTGTGGGAGACAACAAACCAGATTTCAGCAGAGGAAGAAATCAGGAAGAAGCGGTGGAAGTGGATTGGGCACATCTTGAGGAAATCAGCTGATTGCGTCACAAGACAAGCCCTCACATGGAATCCTGAAGGTCAAAGGAGAAGAGAAAGACCAAAGAACACATTACGCCGAGAAATAGAGACAGACATGAGAAGAATGAAGAAGAACTGGATAGAACTAGAAAAGGAAGCCCAGGACAGAGTGGGTTGGAGAAAGATGGTCGGCGGCCTATGCTCCATTGGGAGTAACAGGCGTAAGTAAGTAAGTAATATTACTCCATTATGATTTATTATTATTCGTGAAAATGGGATCATCTAGTAGGAATTAAAATGATAAACTTATGTAGAGAATAGTCGTTTTACTAATCACCTTTTAACTTTATACTTCAGATTTTATTTATATTCTTTACAATTACTCCAGAGAAGAAATACCATATAATGAATTCATATGCTTTGAGGAATGGGAAAAGCTAAATATATATACTTGATCAACACCGATTAAACTGTTCTTTATATTTTAACTTGATATTTCGAGGATGAATTCACTGGACATTCAAACTATAGCTGATTACTATAAAAACCTTTCAAACCTGGAAATTAAAAACACCCAACCCTTATAAACTGAAAGATGTTGCTAATTTATAGTCCGCTGTTTCGAAAATTTTCTTCATTTATACCAAAGAGATCAAGAACATTTATATGAATCTTGTATAATCCAATTTATCTTAAATGATTTAAAGTAAATATAAACTAGTTGTATATTTTACAAGATCTCCAGTATTTGCTCGACTCAGTATATCATTTAATGTAAAGATTAAATTTAAATATAACTACATTCTTTTGTAAACCAAAGTTATAATCATCAGGTTATGATCTTTCATGAAACTGTTTATTTTACCTTAGTCATAATTATTGTATTCAGTGTCAGTTCAGTTTATACCGGCCAATGAATACACTGTATTTCTAGTTCCAAATATATTTGGGATATATATATATATATATATATATATATATACTTACCGATCAGTATTTCCTTCCAACTGACAAGTGTTTGCATAAGCCAACAACCACCCATCTCTGCATAAGCCACCTGGCGAAGCGTCAATTATCATTAAATATCCATTGCCTGGTAAACCGGAACCATCCAATCCACTAGTTCCATATCGTGTTCTACATGCCTTTATTAAAAAACATAATCAATAAATTGATTGCTATTACAGAAAACAATCTATGTATTGCAAAATAATAGATAACTGAAAAAGTGATTTTCTAGTCTTATATTTTCTTGACATTACAAGAAATTACTTCATTTATCAAAACAAATAGTATCCGGAATAAATTGGTATGTATAAGCAATTGGCTTTTGGTAGCTGCTATATATTAACCTTTTGTAGTTTTTGTTAACTCTAATTAAACAGATTTTCTTTTAACCTTTGATCTGTAGAAATAGTATTAAATTTCATACTAATACACTTTTGTGGCCCAGTATCTGACTCCAACTAGATCGTATGAGTGATTGTTATTGAAAAATAAATGTCGGCTATCCTCGTATAAAATCATGGACTTAACTCGCATTAGTGAATAAGGGAATTAAATAAGTCAAATATGAGAATGTATGTTTGAATACGTATATTTTGTACACTGATTGATCTGGACAAACAATCAGAGAGACGTAGCGAAGACCGTGAAGAAGAGAGAACGAAACGAAACTATGCGCATTGGAGAAGGCACCTAGACCAACTCGATTTAACTAGGCGTCAATCGATATTTATAGTCACACAAAAATAAGACAGACATGTGATGAGTAGGATAAGATGCACACACATACGCTCATATAAAAACATTCAGGGTTGGTAAGTGAATAATTAACATGGTCAAAACATGACTCAAGAAGAATGAATAAATTGGCCTGTCCAGAAGCTAGAATAAGATATATGGGCCTAACATAGTAACCGACGTTATACACTGATAAGTAACGTCAATTCTCAAATTTAAATTTATGCCAAAATATAATTTCCTTGATTTTAGTTGTTCTTCGATTCACTTTTGGAAAACAATATAGACAGTCATATTTTGCTTAGGGGACATTTGAACAACATACAATAGCACAAGTAATTATTATTTAAAACAAATAAAAATGATAAATTAATGTAACTGATTAGTTTCACTATTATTTCTCATTTAACTTCATATCAAGTAAATAATTACCGTACAGTAAAGAGTTATGATTAGTCATTTTTTTGCTAAGATGTTTAAATATGAAATTATTGTCCATTGTAATCTAATAAAATTTGGAAAATACTGAATACTAGAAAGCATAGTATAACTGTTTTTTCCTAGTTTATAACTCATTTGAATCTCGTATCAACAAATAACCTGAGGTTAAAGTGGAAAAACTCAGAGTTTGAAGGACATCGTACTCATTGAATGGCTAGAAGATCATCATTTTCATCTGATGTTGAATTAAAATTTCATGTTACTTATAATTTTCTTTTAAAAGTCCTGTGGTTTTCAGAGGGTTCTGTGTATGAGTAGAACTACTTTCAAGTACTTTTTCTTATTTTATCAGTAACATATATCATTAATACAGTTATTTAAAATGTTAATGTAATTAACTAAAATGCAATAGATCAGAAGGGGTTTGGTGGAGATTTCAGTATTTTCATAGTTGAAAGAGTGAGTCAATTGAAGCTAAACCACTATGGAAAACCTGGAAGCACTGGACGGATGTTTCGTCCTATTATGGGACTCCTCAGCAGTGTTCATCCACGATCCCACTCTCGCGGGATTCGAACCCAGGACATACCAGTCTCGTGCCAGAGCACTTAACTGATAGACCACTGAGCTGTCATCCAACGGTGTTAATGCCTAACTTCAACCAATCCACGAAGTTTGAGCAACCATTCACCAATTGTCTTCAGTGAGTTGGTATGTCTACAACAGACGTGGTTGAACTCCACCGGTCACTGCTTCCCACTAGAACTCCAGGACATGTATCTTGAAGTCAATTACTAGTGAGGAGTCCCATAATAGAATGAAACGGCCGTCCAGTGCTTCCAGGTTTTCCATGGTGGTCTAGCTTCAATTGACTCATGATTTCAACTGTGAATATAATGCAAGAGTCATTAGAATCAAATTTTCATTGGCTTTCCCAGGAAATTTTTATTCCTTAATCTTAAGAAATATTCATGTTATTACTAAATATCTAATGATGTGATGATAGTGATTAACAAATCATTAGAAACTGTTTTATTTTCCGTTTGCAGTTTTCTATATCATAGACCAAAATGGTGATTTGTAAAGTTCTTTAATCTTATTATTGGTTAGATTTGAAGTCAGATTTCTATTTCTTTAAATAATTCATGAAAAGTGGTGTATAGTTTCATATACTGTTATGTATATAATCATAGACTTACTTGTAAAAATTTCTGAGGTACTTCCATTGTATGACATTTAGTAAAAGGAAGACAATTATATTCGCAAACTGTGTCAACCGATCCATTTTTGGAAGGAAAGAACCAAAGTCTATCATTTGTACACCCTCTATTTTTATTGTAAATAGGTATAAAACAGAAAGAAACATGTATTAATTCACAACCATTAAACGTTGTTATGGATAAATTTGTAATCTCTAAGAATTTCAGAAATTTCCTTTGTACTTGGTTGGCTCACTCTATATTTTATGGCCCATATTGTTTTATTCTTAGAACTATTCACTGAATAGTCACAATGAATTGAGGTGAAAATAATAGTTTTCAAAGTGGTAGTGGACAGGATTGACCAACTAAAAATATTAAGTTCATTCAAGAATTGAATCAATGAATGAACTTCTATTTAGATTATTACTGTATATTTTTTGAGTCTGCTTTAATAACTAGATAAGGATCAAAAAACTTATCTTATTCAGCAAGATTAGCTAAATTCAGGAAAATTCACTCTTCAAGTATCTAGTTATAATTCTTGCTCTACCATTGTTTGAACAGCACTGTTAACATTCAAACCAATGCATATTGGCCACATGACTTGTAAATGTACTACAAAAATGCATCACGGCTCGTTCAAAGCAAAAGCATTTGAGAATAAATTTTATACATGTGATCTTCCAATGAAAATGAATAAAACAGCATTCATAGTAAATAATTTTTTACATGATATTCATTAAATTTCAAACTATTATACAATCGCTATCAACTTACCTTTTGATTAGGATGTTTTTGTTCGATGGCCGTTTAACATTAAGAGCACTTTGCCAGAAGTTTAATGCTTTATCAACTATCTCATTCTATATTGAAGAATATGAAAATTTCATTATAATAAACAAATGTCAGTATTTCATTTTTATTTATTCAGATTGGCGAGGTTATAATTTATGGTCGAACCAATAAAATTTAAGATACCAGATTTTGGATTTTCGAGCTAAATTCATTCACCCACTTGGTTAAATACCATTTTGGTATCATAGCTAACGTTAGTTCGTGATGAAAACATTAAATCTAATTCCCGACTCCAACATTCAACCGTAAATCCGAATTCTAATTCTTCACACCGATATATAACCCACATTTAACCCTAGTTAGTAAGTGGACATCCTAAGATCATTTTAGCGTTGACGAAAGGCTGTCCATAAATTATATCCTCGCCATTCAGACTTTTTTGAATTAAGTGGATTATATCGAGGAACATATCTGCTAAATTCCAACGCTAAATAAATAATTGTTATAACACTTCGAAGATCTAAAAGTATTTAATTTGCTTACTGTTCCGATTTTCTACGATATTAAAGCGGAAGATCGTGATTTTCAGTTTTGATTGACATATCTTCAGGTTTACAACAGACATAATAAAAAGCTTAAGCATTTTACAATAATCGCATTCCTAGTCATTTCACTTCCCGGAAGATTTTATAATTAATTTTTATAATTATAATATATTTTCGAGATAAATTCACATTTTCGAACAAGTATTTTCATGTATGAAATTCTGTTAGACAAAGTTCTGGTCACAGCTTATTGACAAAAATATAAAGCCAATATGACATTACACACCATGGCAAAATGACTCTTGATTCTAATTTACTAATTAAACACTTCACAGTTTTATTTATTTCACTGATTAGGTGACATCAACTCTGAAGTCTGGATACATAGATACGAATTCCACTAATACATAATGCATATCAATATCTTAATTAAACTTAGCATGTGCATTTATTCATCTCTTTAATCAAAACGTTTACTAACCTCTGAGAAGTAACAGAAAAAAATTATCCATCTCAATTATCATTTATAAAATAAGTGAAAAATGTGATTTCTCTTAATTCAATTCACCTTTAAAAAGCTATATTTTGAATTTTTCATAAAATTCGGAGCAAACACTGGGATGATTCTTAAACCTTGACTATTCATTTGACGTGTTTGTATACCTTGTGCAAATCCTCCATGAGTCTAATAATTATAAAAAATTTTAAAAAAATTTTAAATTTTATTAAAAGAAATAATTTTATAACATACAATTTTCTCCATTGGTTGTAGTTTACAATTATGTTCACATTTCACTATGATAATAAAATAATAGAAAATTATAAAGAGACTAAATGACTGGATGGTTATCATCATTTTCAATGTTAAAATTTATTTACAATTGTTCATGTATATATATACACTAAGATTTAAACAACCTTTACGTTTATTGGTTAGTTTTCATTTGGAACTTTTGTCATGAATTAAGTTTTGTGAACTAGGAGGCACTTTTATTTTTGTAGATTACAAATAAACAAATATTATTCATTTTGTATTGTTTATTTTTATATTTCAATTGATGTTTAGGACCACAAATGATCAGTCTCTTATTGGCATATATTCATCCTTTGCGGATTGCATCAATATTGCCTTAAATCACAAGGTTTATAAGCAAATTATTATTATTATTAATGGCTTTATATATACGTAGGCGGCCTGCTTGAATACCTGGGCTACCTGTTTCTGCCATCTAAATATGGATAGTGGCTAGCAGTGGAATCTAGGACGCGCATTTCGTCCCATTTGGGACTGGTCAGCTGGACGTACCTGCATTCCTGCGTTGATGTTCACTCCGGGACATTCTGGGATGCAGGTACATTCAGTTAACGAATCTCAAATAAGACGAAACGCGCGTCCCGGATTCTACTGCTAGCCACTATCAATCTTTGCAAATAAATATTATTATTACATAATATCTTATTGTCCTCTAATAATTAGTGAGATTATCCCTAGCTGTTATACACTCGTAAATTTATGAGTACATTTCAGAGAATTGTGTTTGTGAACATTTTTGTAAAGTCACTATTTCTAACTAAAACAGTGGGCATGTCAATTAAACTTCTGGAATAAAACAACTATTCGACGTTTCTTGACCTTTTTTAATATATATTGTATATAGCATTGTTTAGTTCATGATGAAAAGTACCTTCAAACCTAATCATCCACACAAGTTTTCTAGTTTAAAAATAAATATCCATCAATAAGATAATTATTGTATTAACCTACAATTCATATCCACATATTTTATGTTAGGGCAAACTTTATAGACAAACCAAGAATCATTGAGTGACGTAGTTAAATGATCGTAGTGAATTTAATATTCAAATCTATTTCCTTAATTTCAAAAATTTTAAACGTTAGGAACTTTGGCTAGCTTACAGATGAAGTTTGGTCTCTGTATAAAGAAGAAATATGTCCTATCTTTGAATTACATTGTACTTATTATTATCAATTTGTAATTCTTTTGTTTCTTCTTTATACATTTTTTAAAGTAATTTCAAACTCCAAGAATAATGGAACTACTAAGGTTAGTAAAATCGCTAATGTGCTTATTTTTACAACTGTTTATAATCAGTAAAGTGACTACTCAATTCAATCCTAAAGTGGGGATTTCCAGATGCTGTATCAAAGTAGGAAAAAATTAAAATCTAAAAGTGTATTTACTTTGTTAGCATTTCCATATATTGACAGTCTACAGAGGCTAAATACATTAAACGGAAAGTTAAAGAGTAAAGTAGTTTATTATATATTTGTATCGTGGTTATCATTGTGGTACAGAATATATGGTTTCCCCCCTTCTTGACTCGCCAGCTGTATGTACCTGCATCACATTGTTGATATTCACGCTGAAACTAAAACCTGGTGTGCATCGCTTCAAATTTCAATGCATAGTTCACTGAATTAATGAACCCATTGAGCCACAAACGTCTGAAGAGGTTTGTGATTTGTTATCGCTGTTATTCAAGACTGCAGCTGATCAGTCTCTGTTCAACGTGCACATCCTGAGTAGATCGTCTTGACACATTGTTTGTCACAAGGTTTTAGTATATATTTGAGTTATGGCTTGCAGTAAAATCTAGGACTTCGATTTTGCCTTTAGTATTGACAACGGGAAAATGCCGTCCTTGAATGTGATTACACACCTGTTGAACAAGTTAATGTCTGCTTGGGCTCAGTAGCTCAGTGGATCATACACTGACATTTGAAACAATGCACACCAACTTTTAATCTCAGTGTGAACATCAAGACTTTGACGCAGGTACATTCAGCTGAAGAGTTGAGAATGAGATTAAACGTATCTCCTGAACCCCACTGCTAACTACGACTCAAATATTTGCTTAAAACTAGTGATGTGAAATTTCACAATGCATATATCGGGACAGAAATTGATAAAATCTAGACCTGAATATCAGTTGCAGGAAATTACAGACACTTGTAACATTGATTTAGATTTGAAATTACATCTAATTAGTTTTGTCAACAACCACTGAATTTGGTATAATTAATTAAATTACATTTTCACTGAATTTTTCTTCATATTACATAAAATTATCGGTTTTATGTCAAAATAAATCCAACATTTTGCCTGGAAATCTGGTCCAAGCTTTTTCAAGGAAATACTTTCTATCAGGTACCATTGTAATGCATCTAGATTAATGTTTCAAAGGAATAGACATGTTTAAGGTGAATAAACTCTTTTTCTTTGAAATTACGACATATGAACTAATGAATAGTTGGGTAAAATGAAAAAAATTTAGTCATATTGCAGTTACTTCAAGACAACTTCTTCCAATATCAGAAATTTTCGTGGCTTCCAAAAGTAATCCGGGTTACCTACTTTTAGAGGTAAAAAAATATTTAGAAAAAGCTTTTTGATCTTAGATTTTTCTAAGTTATACTTATTAATGGTATTACTGTGTCATATAAAAAGCTACAATCCTGTCTTAATATCAACTAATGCTTAATTAAGTCTAGAACATTAAAGTAGTTGATTGATTCATCTCTATCTGTTCTTTGGCAAAAAAAACAATATTGCATTTTAACTACAGTATAGTATGGAATAAAGCAATAGTTGCCATTAAAGTTTGAAATATTGTTTACTCATTTAGAGGTTAATGACATCACTATTAATTATTGGTAATAATAATAATAATGGTTTTATTTAATACTATATTTTCACTAAAATGTGAAGTTCTCAGTATACAATACTTCAACAAGTTCCACAAAAACAAACGAAACAATAGATAAATACATACATATGTACATCAAATGAGTAAATAAATTATTTAGAACTAAATGAAATGTTTTCAAGACGATAAGAAGCCATCCAACTGTGAATTGTCAAAGTGTCCATAAATATAAGTTTTGATTAGGTCAGCTCTTAAAACCTGTTAGTAGCATAATGTGTGTAATAGATACTGGACTGTAGAGCTTTTATACTTCTTTCTGGATGTATGGATTTTAATGTATATGAGTTTCGTTCCACCGGAAGATATACGAGGGGAAAGATGTTGATGTTGTGGATAGTTAGTACCGGATAAAATAACGCTTGGCAGTAGTTTCCACGATTTAAAATGTCTATCCATAACCATGTTACATCAAAAGATTCACTACATATCTTAATATCTAGCTTCAATACCTTCTGTAACACACCGAAATCTTTTAACAAAAGCCCAGATAAGAATAACGGGCAGAATAAATAATGGTGGTTACTAAACAATAAACCAAGAATCGTAGAAGAAAATGTCGAGTAATCACAAAAGCATGCATTCCCTATTTAAACTAAGTCAGAGAGAAAACTTTCTTTGATATCATTTAAACATGAGAGGACCAAGATAAATAGAAGAAAAAATTGACACCAAGATAAATGACCTTTGACACTGTCTTTATTACAGAATCTTCAATAGTATGAACTTCTTGTGATCCCAACTAGGTGTTTAAGTGCTTTTTTGTGTCCGGTTGAAGTTAACAGTTTGACATATAAAAGGATTAAATGTAAGATTATTAAAATTAGACCATTACTCAACAAGCGAAAAGAACTCACATATTCCAATGGAATTTGCGAAGGGACAAATCAGCGTACATACAGTGAAATCATCTCATACTTAGAAAAAGTATTTTTGTGGAAGATGGCGTATCATACAGAAAAAAGAGAAACGTAGAAGAAAAGAATAGCTACTTGTGTCATACGAACTTGAGTTAATTAGGAAATAGAACATTTTTCTTCAACGATAATATACTGTTCTTTATCAGAGAAGTAAGAACACAGCTACTTGGTCACCCGGCTAACGGTGTTGACTCTGGCAAACTTGTTTAACAATGATAGTCTAGCAACAGAGTCAGAGGCAGAAGTACGGTCTAGAAATCCTCGTTGAACATACTTCTTACCATTTTCCAAACTGAACACTTTTTTACTCACAATAGCAACATCACTCAAGGTTTTTTCTTCGTATTTGTAAGAGAACTGTTATGGATCAATATCCTTCTTTAATTCAGGCTGAAGTGGGAGTGGAAATACATTCCTCTTCGTCCTGAGAAAAGAAGAAGTTATCTCTATAAATTTATTATACGTTTTATAGACAAGTATATCTAAGTTCCAGCTTTTAAACATTCCAGCATAAACAAACATGAATAGTATTGGGTTGGGGTTTCGAAGTTAAATGACGTATGCGGTACAGGTACATTCACTTATGTCACTTATTCCACTACTAACCTCATTTTATTTATTCTGTTTAAATAGAAACGTCGTTAATTACATCAATCTGAATGTATCAGTATATATATAAACCAGATTTCAGCGGAGGAAGAAATCAGGAAGAAGTGCTGGTAGTGGATAGGACACACATTGAGGAAAGCACCCAACCGCATCACAAAGTATGCCCTCACATGGGATCCTGAAGGTCAAAGGAGAAGAGGAAGATCAAAGAACACATTACGCCGAGAAATAGAGACAGATATGAGAAGAATGAACAACAACTGGATAGGAATAGAAAAGAAGGCCCATGACATAGTGGGTTGGAGAATGCTGGTCGGAAGCCTTTGCTCGATTGGGAGTAAAAGGCGTAAATTAGTAATATGCATATATGAAATGGATCCAATAAGCTTTGTCTTGTCATCAGCTTAACAAAATAAATAGATAGATTTGGCTTCTATAGAATAAAATCTAAATATTTGATATAGTATATTAGTTTTGGTGAGTAAATTTTAGAACATCCTGGTGTAAGTAATAAAAAGATTATTTGAAAAGGATGTTTTCCTGCTGAATTAATATTTAAGCCGTAAAACAATCGTTCTCTACTTGTAAGTGAGATCTTTTTTATCCATGTACCCGCATTATATTGATTATGCAAATGAAAATAATATCACTCATTAATCTAATGATTACGCTTGTGGATAATTTCACTGTGAAACTTCGATCTTCATTCCGAGCAATATCAGTTGCGAAGAAACGAATCAACCAAAAAAACTTGACTAACTTGAAAGGTGCCTTTACAACCATTTATTTAAGATTATTGTCGTTATTTTCATCGTTAGTTTGCGCACTATCTACGGCTTTTTCACACCAAGCTTTTAAAACTGTATTTACACACTCTCATTTTAAGGTTCAATATAGCCTTAATGAAATATTCGCCTTTTAAGTAGCATCTAAAATTATGACCTCGTGAAAATTCCCCTTTTCTTACTTATCTTTGTTCTATAAACAGAATTCATTCATGGGACTCCTCAGCAGTGCGCATCCACGATCCCACTCTCGCGAGCCAGATTCGAACCCAGGACCTACCAGTCTCGAGCCGAAGCCCTTAACCGATGGACCACTGTGCTGGCATCCAACGGTGTTAATGTCTAACTTCAACTGATCCACGAAGTTTAGCAACCATTAACCAATTGCCTTCAGTGAGTTCCTATCTCACAACAGACGTGGTTTTGAACTCCACTGGTCACTGCTTCTCACGCTTTCAACTATAGTAAATACTAAATCTCCACATAAAACCCCTTCTATAATTAATATAGTCATATGCTCACTAGTGACTTCGAGAAGTATATCTAGGAGCTCTAGTGAGAAGCAGTGACCAGTGGAGTTCAAAACCACGTCTGTTGTGAGATATCAACTCACTGAAGGCAATTGGTGAATGGTTGCTCAACTTCGTGGATCAGTTGAAGTTAGACATTAACACCGTTGGATGCCAGCACAGTGGTCCATCGGTTAAGGGCTTCGGCTCGAGACTGGTAGGTCCTGGGTTCGAATCTGGCTCGCGAGAGTGGGATCGTGAATGAACACTGCTGAGGAGTCCCATAATAGGACGAGTTGGCCGTCCAGTGTTTCCAGGTTTTCCATGGTGGTCTAGCTTCAATTGACTCAGCTTTCAACTATAGTAAATACTAAATCTCCACAAAAAACCCCTTCTAGAATTCATTCAGTTAATATAGGTCAATTAATTATTGTATTGATTGAAATTATTGTATTGATAGCTTTATTAGTAGC